TGAATTTGAGCTCTTGCCTAATCCAATTTTTTCTATAAAGATGTGAAAGTTATACCATATATAAGGTTATTTTCCTCAGTATACACTTTTTTATTTCTTCACACTCTGTTGAAGGATTGTAAAGTGATCAGATGCTAAGTAACATCTTAATGAAGTGAATTATGCAATTATATATTTCCCTTTGTTTCAAACATACAAATATTAGAAAAAAATGAGGCATTCCTGCCAAGGTGGGGGGAAGAATAATCTCTTTAAATAAAGTTCTCATTCACTTTGAATATGTTTCACTAGAAGACATGTTTTCAAATGTAGCCCATCCAACACCTACAAGCTCAATGGGTGCCCTATATAAAACAAATACGGTTGACAGAACTGTATTCTTACCAAAAATAGTTGCTCTTTAAAGTTTAATTCTCTGTTAGAATAAATTACTAAGAACATTATACTTATCAAAAGTTTACTCTAGATTACTAATATTACATCCTTGTCACATTTCTAAGAAAAGAAATAAAAGCATTTCCCTTTGGAGCCATTTAACCAAGAGAGAGTCCATATTTGAATTCTCTGTGCTCCCAGTACCTTCTGGCTTCTGTCTCTCTATTATATGAGTTTGAATTTTCCCCTGATTTTAGACTGTCTTGTGATTCTCTCCAATGTGTCTGTCTCTTTGTGTGACTGTCTCTGTGTCTACCAAAGGACTTTATTTTGCTTTACTGGCCAGCATAGAAAGCATCTAATAGAGCAGGAATGAGGAATATTTTACAGAAATCCTTATCAAGGTTTTACAAGAGAATAAGGCACTGGCTTCAACATATCCCAACTGACCAGATAAAAAACAATACTAAGAATATCACTGTTTTTCAATCAATGGCCAAATTTATGCACAAAATTTGTGGTGGATATTCATTTTAGGAGACTGTTTTCAACAACTGTATTTGTTGCTTTCAGCGAATGATACAAATGCATTGTTCTATGTCAGGGCATGGAAGAGTACATAAGAGTATAGCTATGCATTATCATAGATTGCAAAAGTTGATTACATGGAAAATCCAAGTCAATTGAGTTGGTTGTTACATTGTTCAGAGAAAATTGAACAAACAAGGCTAAGCACACAGTAGGATAGCATTCTTAAATTTTCAGTGACCTCAACGTTTATTATTAATTCTATGAAGTCCTGCAAAACTCTCAGTCTCTTAGAATGTAAGAGATATGTTTTATCATAATGCTTTGCCACAAAGAACTCCCTCAAGAGATCAAATAGTAAATAATGAATAATGGGGTAAAAACAATATATAATAGAAATAGTTAATAAATTTAAGCCAAATAATAAAGTGTTTGGCACTTTTGCAAAACTTGTATAATTTTATTGTACCTATTATTGGAACCTTAAAGACAAAGAATATGTATGCTTAGCTTTACCTTTAAATGTATTTTGTTTATTATAAAAATTTGCAACTAAAAACATCATGCAATGACACAAAGTCTAAAACAAAACTAGATCAGGAATAAGACAATGGCTTGAACCTGTAATATGTCAATCAGTTATATAGGTATTGAGATTTTTCAAAATCATTGAGCATTGGATCATGCTGAAGATATTATTTAACTTTAATTTAAGGTTCTATCTAGGTCTCTTTTATTCACAAAAATAATAATGTCATAATCAACAATTCTGAAAACATAAAAAACAGAAAAATTTGCAGGGAGCTCTGAAACTGAATCAAATAATGACAAATACCTTCTACATTGTCAGCACTTGCCAACTCTTGCTCTAAAATGCAATTATTATAGATACAAGAATTTGGTTTCTAAATAATTTTCATTTCTACAGTGACATTTGTACTCCTTTGAACAATCGGTCCAATTTGAGCATTTCACTACTCAAAAATTAAATTTTATGGTTTTATCTACAGTCTAGGTGAATTAATTCCCGTACTTTTAAAATAACAAACTTCATAACAGTGCATGGGGGACTAAGTAACCTCTGGATTTTTATGAAGTAAAATCTTGGATGCATGAAAACTCTTCTCTAGACTGTAAAGTCAGTCAGTGAGCTAATAATGCTGCAAAGGCAAGGCTTGCTTCTATTTCTATTTATTCGTCCAATATGAAGTGCTGAGTAAGGACAAGTCATTAGAGTAACACATTGGAAGCTGTTTTCCTCAGATAAAAACAAGAAAAGACCATTTGTTCCATGTGTGCCTTTTATTACAGCAGCCTCACAGGTTCAAAGAGCACTGCTATTTCAAGCTCAATGTACACATAGCAGGTCTAAACTGGAATGCCTGTGACCTACTGATGTCAAGTATCAATATCATATGCACTAAAAGTTGAATTAGCAAATGCTGTGACTTGGGTTTGGTCATTTTATTCTGTGTGTTGATAATCTTTCTGGAATGCCATCATGGCTCATGGCAACTTTTCAAGGAATAGTTAATATATATGTACTCAATGAAAGAAGCAAAGGGATAACATGTACCAACCCAACCAGGCAGATTTTAATAAACTGGCAGATATACAGTCTTTCAGCAGACTTTCTTAAAAAAAAAAAAATCCTTAAAGGACCATGGGTATGGTGATAAACCTAAAGATGTATGTGGAAACAGAAACAGCCCTCTATGGTTCTAAAGGTTTCTTTGTGAGATGACTCATATCTATTTTTCTTGTAGCCTAAAATGATTCCTCTTTCATGGTCTATGTTGTCTGTTCTGTTCCCTTGGGAATGTTACAGAAACTTTAAATGCTTAATTGAACCATGTGACCTGCATATCCATATTAAAGAGAATAATTTACATGGTTTTTCTCTTTAGGGATATGAAAATTTTCATAGGTGTAATGAGCATTTTCTATGATATGGCTTATGGAATGCTTCTGCCTACACAAATGCAAACTATTCCCTGAAAACAAAAACCATGCAACATCTTGCTTGAAAAAAATTTACTTAATATCTTCATAATATTTTAACATAGTGCTCTGTTTTGAATAACATGGATTGAAGTTACTACTTTCATCTTGCACAACAGACAATAATGCATGAAAATCATTTAGCCACATCCTTGGATATCCTTCCTCTCGTGTTTTCTACATGTTACATTTACAATACTGAAGAACATATTGATATGTTGGGTTTTTTGAAACAGAGTGCAAATAAATTGAGTATGTCATTACTGATGCTTTATTCTATCTTTAAAGAGGCACTACTTCATATTCCTTCGAGTATATGTTGTAATATTATCTTATTTAGAATTCAACAAATTGTGACACCAAGAACACGGTAAGAAGTGTTCTTTGTTTCTAAGCCAGTTTTGGCAGCAGCTGTTTTTGAAAGATATAAACAATGGAACAGACAAAGTGAAAAAATAATTTGGGATTTAGCATAGGGCTCAAGGGTAAAGCACCTGCCTTATACATTCAGGACCGGGGTCAATGCCCATCACCATTTGTAAAAAGTACAGAACAATTATCAACTGGACTATTCAAAATTGAAGTGATAACTCTTTGAAGTTCACGAATGTGAAGAATTGAGACCATTTTTAAAGGCAAACTATAGGATTCAAAGTAAAGAGTAGACTCCATCAAGACCATCTAGTCTGAAAGAATACTGGCATGCTTATTCACTAGATCATGGACCAGAAGCACTGTTACATGATGTAAAACACTACAAGGGGGAAAGTGTGCCTAAACAAATTTTATAAATTTGAATAAATATCTTTTAACTAAGCTTTCAACCCATGGCTAGAAAACCAAAAGGCATCATTGTTTTAATTTGTTCATTCATTTTATAAATATTCTATACCATCTAGCCAAATTTCAGTTGCTTATATGAAGAGAAGCAGATGCTTGGCAATGCCAAATGCGGGATTAGGAGAGAGTGTAGATAATACTAGTTATTTTTATATGTAACACAAACTTTACAATGGAAGGATGTTGGCCATGCTGGGTGACTTCTGAAGCTGGTAGAGTTCTGAAAACTGTCAACAAATGATGCATATCAAGAGTATGAGGTTTCCTGTCTGCGCTTACATTATTCTTGCTTTATTCTAATGACTCCTAGTCCCAGACACATGTTTGTAACAGAATCTATGTCATGTAGACAACAACTTATACATCAATAACTGGTGCATCAGTTCTTCTCAAATAGAATTGCCCTGGCTTTTAATCCTCATTTCATTCCAATCTCTGACATGAGGTAGGACAGACTACCCAGACGATCAATCACTATTACTCTGCACCCAACTGAAGGTAGTCATTCTTAATTTAAGAATAAAGCAGTATTTAAAAACACAATATCTTTGTAATTTTGTAAGTAATTTTGTTACTGTGGATTGATTTGTTTATTCAACTTTGAGATTTGAGGCTGCAAAATTATAACTAGATTTTAGTTTTTTGAAGTTTTTGGCTACTGTCTGTAAAGACTGTGAGATGCCTTTACATTTACTGGTTTCCCCTTTGGGGAAAATATCTTGAAGATATTTTTCTTTTAGACAAAGAGTGATAAATTTTCAATCTCAAAATTCATCAAGCCAAAAGCATGATAAAACTGCTGCCTTTCTACACAGGAGTTAGACATTCAAATTAAGATGTTTAGCATTGTGTATAATTATAATTTATGAAATAAGTCTTTAAACTATATGCAAATTTGAGTCTATACTTAAACTGTTATATGTTGTCTTCAATGTCCTCCATCACTTACATTATATTTGCCAGGTGTCATCTACTCTTTCTGCCTTTTTCTCAAAAGAAAAGGTAAGCATGAAAGAAGAACAGGATAACTAGTTTAAATTCAAGAAAATTTCTTTTGCTCTTCATTGCCTGACACCTATGTCACATTGGGATTTGTTGATTCTTAAAATGAAAGTAAAACCAATCACATTTATTAAGATGATACATATTCAAGATATCATTTTATGATGTACTAATCCCTTGAATAGGTGTCCTGAAGTCTGTCAAATGGTTTCATTTTTATTTACTTCAACAGTCATTTTCCATGACATCTCAAAGCCTGTCATATCAAGAATTTATTAGAACTCAATAAAATTATATATGTTGTATGTGATATTTATATTTTTAACACTTCCACAATGATCTGAAATTAGCCCCCATTTGTAAGTTATAAATTTCGTGTCCAAAATTGTCTGTCAAAATGATTTAGGAACTAATTCTCCTTTACTTTGTCAAAGATTTGGGTGAACATATGTTCTAAAGTACATCAGACAGGGGTTACAATGGGAGCTTAATTAAAGGAACACTGTGAAGACAGGCATTTAGACAAAAAACAAACAACAAACAAACAAAAACAGAATTCCTCATCTTAAAGTGAGAAAACATATTTTCTTGAAAACCTCCAAATCAAACAACAGAGTAGAGCTCAGGTTTGGTTCGGTTTCCAAGCTCATCAATCACTCTTTTTCTTCAGGGATGTTTCCAGAATAGTTCCTCTGAAACAAAAATCACTAAACAGGAAAACATTAATCATAACAATTTCCTAGAAATAATTGACCTTGCTGTGACCAAAGTATGCTGAATATTGACAATGTTTTAGACATTGAAACAATTCCTTATGATAGCAGATATATGACTTCATAGGAAACATGGATACATTTCATTAAATTTTATAGGGTATGTGTCCTTATGCTTCTTATCATAGTCCATATCACTGGCTCAAACATGTGAGTCAATCTTTCCCAAATTAAATTACTACCAAAATTTACAAACTAGATCTGAAGACTATATTGTATTTACAAAGAACTTGGCACTTACAGAATAAATTATTGACTTTTTAAAATATAGCCCAGGGCACCCATGGTTTAGGCAAATGTGAAAGCCAGATGTCTTGTGCATTATGCTACATGAACATGAATAATGTTTTCCAGCAGGTAAATCCACAGTGCTGCCCCTGCTGCTGAAAGACAGGGCCTCCCATTTTTAATCCATGGTGTAGGGGTGGAGAAGTTTTCAGTCCAGAGAAAGTAAAGGCTGCATGTTTTCTTCTTCACTTTTATCCATGCGTTTCAGTGCTGTAGGGTCCACTACTGACTGAGATCTGGAAAGAATAATGCCAAGGTCAATGCAGCCCATGTAATTACCCACAATTATTCTTTTCAGTTTTTTAAATTCACCACTGCTTTCCATATGGCCCTGAATTCTCTTCCTCAAGTAAAGATATTTATGAACTATGGATGCTATACATGTAGAGTTTGGCATTAGGGTGAATAGACAATCTCCTGGCCTCCAGGGTTGTGAGCAGCAAGAGGTTCTATGCAGAGAATAATAGGATTGATGTTCTGATAATTTAACCAGAATATTTCTTTGAAATGATGACATTTTCTAATATAGGACAGATATTTTCTGACAAAATATTTATGGATGGAAAAAGAAACTAATGGGAAGATGACTTTGACATCAGCAAGAGGCTTTATTCCTGCTTTAAAATACCCTATAAGACAAATCCAAAATATTTATAACTTATTTTTTTATCATCTCTTAATTTGAATTAGGATGTCAACCAAAAAAATCAGAATTTCAGTGTAATTTTGTTATGTTTCCCACTAGAGTATCCAAATAAAAGAGACCATATGCTTGAATGCTTCAAGAAATAGTTAAATATTTTTAAAGTAAAAACGTTTATTTGGTTAGGACATGGATGAAAATGCAGGGAAAAAATGAAGCAGAAACTTAAGAAAAAGCTACCCAGTGATTAGCCCAACTTGAGATACATTCCATGTATGCACAACAAATTTTGACACTATTACTGAGGCCATATTTTGTGTGTAGAAAGAAGCATGGCATGGCTGTCCTCAGAGAGGGTCTACCAGAAACTGACTGAGACAAATGCAGATACTTACACCCAACCATTGGAAAACTAATGGTAGAGTTAGAGAAAGGACTGAAGGAGCTGACAGAGATTGTAACTCCATAGGAGGAACAACAGTGTCAACTAACCTGGATGCCTCAGAGCTCCCAGAGACTAAACTAAAAACCAAGACGCAGACATGGGCTAGTTTATAGCCCTGGGAACACGTGTAGCAGAGAAGTGCTTTGTATGGCTTCAGTGGGAAAGGATGTGCTCAATCTTTTGCAAACTTGATTCCCGAGGAAAAGAGATACTAGTGGGGTTTAGGAAGGCATGGGAGGGCAGGTGGAGGATTACACTTTCAGACATGGGGTGAGGGTATAGGAGGGAAGAACTCAGGGAAGGGGTACCAGGAAGGGAAGCAACTTTTGGAATGTAAATAAATACAATAAATTAATACAGATTAAAAAAGAGAAAGCACATAATTTGAAAATATATATATATGCATACATATATATGTTATATGAATATACTATGCATACATGTGTATACACACATAAACATACAAATATACACATATGCATACATATGCCCATTATACATATATGCATAGAAACATATACAAGGCTGCAAATATACAAACATGTATAGATAGATAGATAGATAGATATAGATATAGATATAGATATAGATATAGATATAGATATATAGTTATATATAGTTATATATATACATGTATACATGTACATATATACACGTATATGTATATACATGTATACATATACAAAATATGTGTGTATATATACATATTTGCATACATACACATGTATGTGCTTTTGTTAGTAATGTGAAATTGTATTGCAGATAATCATTAGGAAAGAGAATTAAAATGGGAAGGAGAGAAAACAATGACACATGCTATTATAGTGACAAGAAGAACCCATTTTAATGCCTATGGCATTAAGAAGCAGATGTCCTTTTAGAGCCCCCTCCAGTAATTTCTTCCACACTGCTGCATTCTACCTAATTGCTTTTTGCTGTCGCAATATGCCTCTTAGCAGACTTCATTAACTCCCACAAAGGAAGACTCTCGGCTAAATTATAATTGCACTTCCTAATAAAAACAAATGTAATGGAACTAGTTATATTATTAAAAGTACAAGATTCACCAGAAAGGACTCGATTTATTTAATAAACAACTATTTCATAAAAGAAAAGGAAAATGGAAGTGTTAATAATCTTACTCATTTACATTTCAAATGATATTCACCTTCCAGGTTTCCCTTCCACAAACATACTATCCCATACCCTTCCTCCATGCCCTTTGCATCTATGAAGATGCTCCTCCACCCACTCACATACTCCTGTCTCACCGGTCTAGCATACCCCCTACACTGGGGCATCAAGCCTCTACACGACCAAGGGCCTCCCCTCCCATTGAAACAAGATAAGGCCATCCTCTTCTACATATGTATCTGGAGATCTCTCCTTTGGTTGATGGTTTAATCTCTTTAAGTTCTCAGAGGTCTGGTTAGTTGATATTGTTCTTACTATAGGGTTGCAATACCCTTCAGCTTCTTTGGTCCTTCCCCAACTCCTCCATTGGGGTCCCCATGCTCAGTCTGATGGTTTGCTATGTACATCCTCATCTGTATTGGTCAGATGCTGGTAGAATCTCTCAGGAAACAGTCATCCCAGGCTCACTGTTAGTGAGCTTTTCTTGGCTTCAACAATAGTGTCAGGGTTTAGTGTCTGCAGATGGTATGGATCCCTGTGTGGGACAGTCTCTGGATGGCCCTTCCTTTTTTATGTCACTGTCTTTCCTTTGGACAGGAACAATTCTGGCTTAAAAATGTTGAGATGGATGTGTGGCCCCATTCCTCGACTGGGGGCCATGTCTCTCTACTGGAGGTGGCCTTTAAGGTTGTATTTTGTTGGGGATTTTGGCTAAAGTCACCTCTGTTGGGTCCTGGGAGCCACTCACTTACCTGGGGTCTGAGACTTTCTAATGGCTACCCTCAGTTCCCGATCTGCCACTGTTACATATTTCTATTCAGTTACCTGACCCTTTGTACTTCTCTCATGTTCCTTCCAATACCTGATCCTCCCCTCCTTTTTTTCCTTCCCCCTCCTGTCTTTTTCCGAGGTCCCTCCCTCCCTCTACCTCTTATGATTATTTTCTTCCCCTTTCTATGTAAGAATGAAGTATCCACATTTTGTTCTTCCTTCCTCTTAAGCTTCATATGGTTTGTGGGTTGTATTGTGGATATTTTGAAATTTTTTCCTACTATCCACGAATCAGTGAGTATATACCTACCATGTGTGTTCTTTTGTGACTGGGTTGCTGCACTCAAGATGATATTTTCTAGTTCCCTTCATGTGCTAGTGAATTCCATGAACTCATTGTTTTTAATAGCCGAGTAGTACTCAATTGTATAAATGTACCATATCCATTCTCCTGTTGAGGTGCATCTGGACTGTTTCCAGCATAAGGCTATTATAAATAAGGTTGCTAAAAACATAGTGGAGTATGTGTCCTTGTTATATGTTGGACCATCTTTTGGGTATATGACCAGGAGAGGTATAACTGGTTCCTCAGGTAGTACTATGTCCAATTTTCTGAGGAACTGCCAGACTGATTTCCAAAGTGATTTTACCAGCTTGCCGTCCCACCAGCAATGGAGGAGTGTTCCTGTTTCTCCACATCCTTGCTAGCATCTGCTGTCATTTTGATCTTAGCCATTTTGATAGATGTGAGGTGGAATCTCAGGGTTGTTTTAATTTGCATTTCCCTGATGATTGAGGATGTTGAACATTTATTTAGGTACTTCTCATCCATTTGAGTTTTCTCAGTTGAGAATTCTCTGTTTAGCTCGTTGTCCCATTTTTAAATAAGATTATTTGGTTCTCTCAAATCTAACTTCTTGTGTTCTTTGTATATTTTGGGTATTAGACCTTTATGGGATATAGGGTTGATAAATATTTTTCCCAATATATGGGTTGCTGTTTTGTCATATTGACAGTGTCCTTTGCCTTGAGTATTGTACAAGGAGATAAGAATGTATCAGTTTGCATTCTTCTACATGCTGACTGCCAGTTGAACCAGCACAATTTGTTGAAAATGCTGTCTTTTTTCCACTGGATGGTTTTGGCTTCTTTGTCAAAGATCAGTTGATCATAGGTGTCTGCATTTAATTCTGGGTCTTCAGTTCTATTCCATTCATCCCTTTCCCTGTCTCTGTACCAATACCATACACTTTTTATCACTCGTGCTCTGTGTAGTACAGCTTGATGTCAGGGATGGTGATTTCCCTGGAAGTTCTTTTACTGTTGAGAATAGTTTTCACTATCCTGGGTATTTTGTTATTCTAGATGTATTTCATAATTGTTCTTTATATCATTGTAAATAATTGTGTTAGAATTTTGATAGGGATTACATTAAATCTTTAGATTGATTTTGGAAAGAGGGCCAGTTTTACTGTGCTAATTCTGCAAATCAATGAACATGGGAGATCTTTTTATCTTCTGAGGTATTCTTTGATTTCTTTCTTTAGAGACTTGAAGTTCTTGTCATACAGATCTTTCACTTGCTTGGTTAGAGTCCCAGGAAGATATTTTACACTATTTGTGACTATTGTGAAGGGTGTCATTTATCTAATTTGTTTCTCAGACCATTTATCCTTTGAGTAGAGGAAGGCTACTAATTTGTTTGAGTTAATTTTATATCCAGCCACTTTGCTGAAGTTGTTTATCAGATGTAAGAGTTCTCTCGTGGAATTTTTGAGTTTGCTTATGTATAGTATCATATAAACTGCAAATAGTGTTATCTTGACTTCCTCCATTCCAATTTCTATACCTTTGACCTGCTTTTGTTGTCTAATTGCTCTGGCTAGAATTTTGAGTAGTATATTGAATAGATAGGGGGAGAGTGGGCAGCCTTGTCTTTGTCTGTGATTTTAGTGTGATTGCTTCAAGTTTCTCTAAGTTTAGTTTGATGTTGCCTATTGGTTTGCTGTACATTGTTTTATTATATTCAGGAATATACCTTGAATTCCTGACTTTTCTAAGACTTTTATCATGAAGGAGTGTTCTCTTAAGTGGAAAGATTTGTTTCTTATGTCAATTTCATTTTATCTGAATATTAAATAGATGCTAGATGTTAGACCATGTATTGATTAAGTTTTGCTGTGTTTCTTTGTGTGTCTTTTAGAGGAAAGAGATATCAGATGAGGAGAAAAAGTTGACAGAGAGAAAAGGGAGTAGGCAGAAGGAAGAATCACAGGGTAACATTCATAGGAATATTTTGATCTCTAAACTTCTTGCAAATGAATTTCCAAACAAAAATAATGATATTAAGTATTCAAGGCCCAAAACAAGAAAAATGCAAAATTAATTCTTTATAAAAAAAACAACATATCATAAATGCATCTACTGCTTGGACTTTGTATTCTGCCTTAATCATCTTCAATATGTAAATAAATGGCAAAGCTGTTCAAGTTACACAAAGTCCATCATTAAATTATTTGTATTTGCTATAATATTCTGCTAAAATACATACAGATACATACATACATTGTTTTAAGCCTGTTTGGAACCTGACATTTTAAAATAAAAGAATATGGTAATTTTCTTGTTTAACCTGGAATTAAATTGTTATATTATTTCCTCAGGCATTATAGTTATCAGAATAATAGATGGGTGAACTGACCTTAATACTTGTATGAAATTAAAATAGTATAAAAGCAAAAAGAAGGAGGAGGAATGGAATAGAGTGTTGATGAGGGTGGGGAATAAGGAAAGGGGATAATATCTGAAATGTAAATAAATAAAATATCCAATAAAAATGTAAAAAAAAAATCTAGAGAAAGAAGAAGACAAACACTATGAGTGACAGGTACAGCTAGACTGAAGAGAGAAATGTGTGCTTCTGATAGGACTGGATAAATGACCCTGTTACAGAAGGAAGACCTTTGTCATTTGCTTAAAGAGGAAACTAAGGCCATTACAGATAACTGTCTCCTAAGATTTATTTATTTATATTTGTATTTTATTCTTTTAAGTTTTATTTTTAATTAGTTAGTTTATTGCTTTACATTTCAAATGTTATTCCGCTCTTCCCACTTTCCCCTCCACTCCTATCCCATCTTCCCTCCCCACTGCTTTTATTGGGTGCTCACACACACCCATTCACTCCTGCCTCACTGTCCTAGCATTCCCCTATGATGAGGCATCGAGCCTTCACAGGACCAAGGGCCTTCCCTCCTGTTGATGCCAGATAAGCCCATCCTCTGCTACATATGTATCTGGAGCCATGGGTCCCTCCATGTATACTCTTTGGTTGGTGGTTTAGTCCTTGGGAGATTTAGGTGATCTCCTCAGTTGATGTTGTTATTCTTCCACCATTTTAGCTACTTCAGAACTTCCCTTACTCTGTCATTGGGGTCCCTGTGCTCACACCCATGGTTGCCTGAGAACATCTCCATCTGTATTGGTCAGACTCTAGAAGAGCCTCTCAGGAGACAGCTATATCAGGCTCCTGTCAGCAAGCACTTCTTGGCATCATCAATTGTGTCTGAGTTTTGTGTCTGCATATGGGATGTATCCCCAGGTGGAGTACTCTCTGGATGGCCTTTTCTTCAGTCTCTGCTCCAATCTTTGTCCCTGTATTTCCTTTATACAGGAGCAATTCAGGGTTAATATTTTTGAGATGGGTGGATGGTCCTATCCCTCAACTGGAACTGTGCCTAATGTCTAGATATGGTCTCTTCAGGTTGTCACTCCCCTTTATTGGGCATTTTGACTAATGTCATCCCTAAGATCCTGGGTGCCTCTCAGTTACCTGGGCTCTGGGATTTTCTAGTGGCTACCCCTAGTTTTCCATCCACCACTGCAATACATCTAAGTTCAGTTTCCTGACACTCTGTACATCTCCCCCATCTCCTCCTACACTTGATCCTATCCCCCTTTTCCCCTCCCCCTCTTCTCTCCCTCTCAAGTCCCTCTCTCCTTCTACCACCCATGATTATTTTGTTCCCCCTTCTAAGTAAGACTGAAACATCAACTTTGGTCTTCCTTTTTGAGCTTCATATGGTCTGTGAGTTGTATCATGTGTATGTAGATGTCCTTTATAATTCAGAGCAATTACTTTTTTCCTAATATCCACTTATCAATGAGTACATAACATGTGTGTTCTTATGTAACTGGGTTACCTCACTCAGGATGATATTTTCTAGCTCCCTCCATTTGCCTTTGAATTTTATTAAGTTATTGTTTCTAGTACCTGAGTAGTACTCAATTGTATAAATGTACCACATTTTCCATATCCATTCTTCTGATGAGGGACATTTGGGTTATTTCCAGCTCTGGCTATTATAAATAAAGCTACTATAAACATAGTGAAGCATGTGTCCTTGTTATATGTTGTAGCATCTTTTGGGTATATGATCAGGAGTGGTATACCTGGCTCCTCATGTAGTACTATGTCCAGTTTTCTGAGGAATTGCCAAACTGATTTCCAGAGTAGTTGCACCAGCTTGCAATCCTACCATCAATGGAAGAGTGTTCCTCTTTCTCCACATCCTCGTCAGCATCTGCTGTCACATGAGTTTTTGATCTTACCCATTCTGACTGGTGTGAGGAGGAAGCCAGAACCATCCAGTGGATAAAAGACAGCTTATTCAACCAATTGTGCTGGCTGGCTCAGGTGGTGGCCACCATGTAGAAGAATGCAAATTGATCTATTCTTATCTCCTTGTACAAGCTCAAGTCCAAGTGTATCAAGGACCTCCACATAAAACTAGATACACTGAATCTAATAGAAGAGAAAATGAGAAGGAGTCTCAAACACATCAGCACAGGGGGAAATTTCCTGAACAGAACACCAATGGCCCAGGCTCTAAGATCAACTGTAGACAAATGAGACCTCATAAAATTACAAAGCCTCTATAAAGCAAAGGATCCTATCATCAGGACAAAATGGCAACCTACAGACTGGAAAACAGTCTCCTAAGCTTTATATAGCTCACTTCCAGAGAGGCAAGTAACACTGTCATAAAAGAGTATACAGGCTTTCTTTCAACAATCTGAAAGACTCCAGATGAACCTTCTACACACACACACACACACACACACATGCACACATACACTCACGTGCACACACATACACACAAGCAGACACAAACACACAAACAGAGGGAGTGGGGAGAAACACTGAGAATACAAGTTTCTGTGAGAACTAAACATATTAATTTAAAAGAGGCACACTTACGGGCCTTCTTATGATAAATGTTGGAGTATAATAACAAATTTCAGTAGATTTGCTTTTCTTAGGTGACAGTTATCCAACAGTAATTACTTATGGATCTTTTGTTTTAGAGACTCTTTCAGAGTTGGAGAAACTCAAAGTTTTAGTTACATAGTTTCCAATTTTAACTGCAACTCAGCACTGAACAGAATCTTGACAAACTATCAAACAATAATTCAGGAGGTTAATGAATCCTCAAGTGTACTGACACTTATTGTACACAGATGTCAACTGAAGCCTAAATTCGGCTTAAAGACAAACATGTTAACACATGAGAAAATGATTGCAGGGAAGCATTCCACTTCTTTACTTTTATTCCCAGGAGATGTTCAGTTGCCTGTAGTGAGCAAAACATGATCATGATCATCATCATCATTATCATCATCATCATCACACAAATATACTTGTGTGTGCATATATACATGATACAGAGAGAAATAGGGAGAGAGAGAAAGAGAAAGAAACAGAAACAGAGGCAAAAGGACAAAAACAGAGAAATAAACATAAGAAGACAGGCAGAGACAGAAAAAAGGGGAGGAAAAAAGAGAGAAAGGAAAGGAGAGAGAGTCTCTAGGACCATGCATGATACTACCTGAATCAAAGCCTTAACCAAAGGACCACCAAGCTTTCATGAGAAAAATGTGCATGATAGGCTTTAGCATGACAAGTAAACTGTGTCTTCCATGAGGTAGCTGGGAATCACACACTTTTATGAATGATGATTAGACTTGACTTATTTGTAATCATCATTATGTTGCACTCTCCTGGGGTCTGGAGATGCCTGAGAATCAGTCATATTTTTTGCTACAGGAAGCAAAAGCAATTATGCAGAACGTGTCTGTCATTCCTCCACCCACTAACAGCATCAACCGTTATGAGGCAAAACAAGAAGATGGATTCTATCTCAACAGTTAACCTTTTGATGATTAAACCTATAATAACAGAGAGCTTGGCACACAAAATGGCTGCCTTCAAACAGACTGGGCAGAGACATTGACAGGTAATTCAAGTTTGAATGTAGTGTTTGAAAGTAAGTGTGTGTGTGTGTGTGTGTGTGTGTGTGTGTGTGTGTGTGTGTTTTGTTTGTGTGCCTTTGTGTATGATACACACTAAGAAATATCTTTGTTACTACAAGACTTTAAATTGCTATCTTAAAGGAAATAAGACACAGAAATGAAAACATTTATGGCAAAGAGAAGGAGTTTAACTCGTCCTGCCTTCTCCAATCAGCTTTGCCCCTTCCTGGTCTCTCCATAACATACCTCTTCATGGATTTTGGGGAGAGTTCCTTGTCCACTTCCTTCACAGGCATGCTATAGGAATCCACGTTGTACTCACTGTCATCATCATACTCATGGTCTAGCAGGGTTCGTGCCCATGTCCCCATGTCATATGGGGGCAACATTCCTCCAAACTCAGAAGGTAGGATCTCAGGATGAATTAGTTGGTGTAGACTGTTCAGGTTGTTACCATGCAAAAATATCTAGAAATGTAAGATGAGAAGCAGGGAGGAAACACATAGAGAAAAAACTAAATACAATCCAAAGGACATGGGAAAGGGGTGAGGCTAGAAAAACAAATGCAAGAGGCTTATATGTTTCTTGTCTCTCCTCTATTCTATTAAGTAGACAAGACTGTACCATCATATAGCATTTCATATAAAGATCCTGAGGGTCATGAATGTTTAGTTTTTGGAAGTACAGATAGTTACTGTGCCAGAGACTTAGAATCACAAACTTGATTTTCTGCTTCATTGATAGGACCATGAGCAGAAGCTAAGCTCCATATCACCTTGGTGTTGGCTGTGCAAACATGGTCATATTCATAATGAATGCTGCTCAGACAGCCTTTTCTCATCAGGGAATTATCAGTTCCAATGCCATTCAAGTTTTCAAAGCCAAAAGCTGCCATTTCTATTTATTGCCAATAAAAGCAGGAATAGTATAACTGCTCTATTGTTGCTTCATAAATTGAAGTGGATGTCATAAAGTAAATTAAATTAGAATCCTCATAAGAAACAATATTGTGAGGCTCATGTCCCAGAGGATGTGTGATCTTACATTATTGCCAACACTCTCAATCCTAGAGATTTACATATTCACTGTCCAAATGAAAATTAGAACAATGAATTGAAAGGGAACATATCATAAATATACTTAAATCATTTGTATTAGTGTCAACAGAGTATTTTTATAAGATAAAACCTAATTAAAGTCACAATCTCAATTATATGCTACTTCTATCAAATGCCACCAATTTCTCCATTCTTTTTATTAAGAATCACTTAAACATTCTACTTTAAAATATTTTTACATCACAATTATTAAAACTCCATTCATTAACATATTGATATAACACAACTTTTTATGAAATAAGATTATATCAGTGAATATAAAACAATTTTCAGTAGTTAATAATACGCATCACTATTAGTAAGGTCTCTAAAGGAAACATCACTCACTGTGAGATATATATGTATATAAAACTAGCTGGAACTGAGCTAGAAGCTTCCTACCTGTTGGCTGGATCTTATAGTTTCTGAAGGTGCTGTGAATACTGCTTGGGAAGAAAAGACGTCAGCAGTCTTACCTGGCTACTAACTTAACTGCTGTATGAACTTGTCAGGCAAAATTTGCCCATTGGTATAATATGGGTACAACTGTTATGAGGGCATCCATTTGTTCTTAGATTAGTTTTGAAACATGATCCACAGAAAGAATTCATAATGTCTCCTTTGTAAACAAGGCTAAAAATTATGACTAAAAGATGAATCAGTGTATGAGTATAAAAGGAAACACCCAGGTGCCCCTCAATGGAAGAGTGAATGCAGAAAATGTGGTTCATTTACACAATGAAACACTATTCATATATTAAGAATGAGGACATCATGAGTTTTGCAGACAAATGGATGGATGGAACTAGAAAATATCATCCTGAGTGATGTCAGACCAAAAAGACATCTTACATGGTATATACCCACTAATAAGTGGCTATTAGTCAAAAAAGTACAGAATACCAAGGATATAATACACAGAACTCAAGAAGGTTAAAAAGCTGAAGGGAACAAGTAAGGATGCCTCAATATCAACTTGGGAGAGATAAAAAACCAATCATGGGGGATAGAGAGAGGGACCAATTGAGAGAGGGGACCAGGAGAAGAAAAGGGGATCAGGTATTGGCAGGGGGAGGGACAGGAGTGAAGCTCTGAGGGCCAGCAGAAAGAATGTAGGCAACCTCTCGAAGTCAGAGGTGGGGAAACCCTCTAGAATGTACCAGAGACCTGGGAGGTGAAAGGTGCTCAGGACTCAAAGGAAGGGACCTTAGATGAAATGCCCAACAGTGGGAAGAGGGAACTTGAAGAGTTCACCTTCAGTAGAAATACAGGACATTAAGTGGAGGGATGGGATTGCTATCCTACGGTCGAAAACTCTGACCCAGAATTGTTCCTGACTAAAAGAACTGCAAAGAGAGAAATGGAGAAGAGACTGAGGGAAAGAAAACCCAATGATGGCCCCAATTTGGGTTTAGCTCAAGGGGAGCCTCCAAGGTCTGATACTATTAATGATGCTATTACAGACAGAAACCTAACATGGCTGCCCCTCCAAGAGGCCCAACAAGCAGATGACTGAGAAAGAAGCAGATGCATACACCCAATCAATGGACTGAAGAAGAGGACCCCTGTGGTTGAATTAGGGAAAGGCTGGAAAAAGTTATGGAGGAGGGTGATCCCCATAGGAAAACCAACAGTCTCAACTAACCCAGACTTCTGAGATCTCTGAGACACTGGGCCACCAACCAGGCAGCATATACTAACTGATACGAGGCCCCCCTGACACATATACAGCAGAGGACTGTCTGGTCTATCCTCAGTGAGAGAAGATGCACCTAACCCTCCTGAGGCCCCAGGGAGTAGGGAGGTCTGGTCCAGGGTGTGGATGAGTTGGTATGGGGTAGGGATATCCTCCTGGAGAAGGGGGCATGGGGAGGAATGAGATGAGGAACTGTTAGATGGCAGACCAGGAGGGGGATAACAATTGGACTATAAACAAAAGATTAAAGATATTTAAAAGAAAGAAAGAAAAGAAAGGAAGAAAAAGAAAGAAAGAAAGAAAGAAAGAAAGAAAGAAAGAAAGAAAGAAAGAAAGAAAGAAAAGGAGGGAGGGAGGAAGGAAGGAAGGAAGGAAGAAAGAAAGAAAGAAAGAAAGAAGGAAAGAAAGAAAAAGAGGTGCTGATAATCAGTGATGATTGAGTGCTCGTCCCTAAAAAGATATTTTATATTATTTCATCTAAGGCTCTGGAAACATTGCAGAAGAAAGGGGAGAAAGATTGTAATAGCCACAGAAATTATACTTTCTAGACATGGCCTAGTCAATGAAGTGTTGATCTCACAGTACCTGTAGTTGCATTGCAACTACTCTGCATAAGATTAGGTCTACCAACAGATAATCATAGGATGGAAGGGGATGCTCACATGATCCTACCCTTCCTTGCTGACCAATTAGACAGTAGTTCTTATGGGATTAATCATCTTCTGCAATTGTATGCCCACTTATGGGACCACTGGCTTCAAGGGTCATATAGAAGACCCTGTTTAAACTCAGTGAATAAGGAGGTGAGATTTGGGGTGATGGGGTAGAAAGAGACAAGATAAAATGGGTGACAATAATCAGAATACAGTATATATCCATATACATGTGCATATATTTCATTATGTCTTTATGTGCATACACATGTGTGTGAAATTGTCAAAAGTCAAATTTTGGAAAGTTCAGATGTATGTAACTGGCAAGTTTCCCTTTCTAATCAAAAGTTTTCATCATCAATTACATACCTTCTATTCCCAATCTGATGAGAGATTTTTAAAGTGTAACTTGGTTTTCTTCATTTTCAATTTTATCATTACAAAATAATAGACCTCTCAAAAAAGCATCATTGGTATTGTACACAAATTTCTGTAATATTTATTTTAAGAATATAGTTTATAAATAACAGATGAACAGGCTAACTACATTGATATTTATTGTCTGTACCTTAGAATCCACAGAAGTGAATATATAGGAAAATATATGCATATCGTTAGGTAAACTCAAAGAGAGGAAACAGTCATCAATACATTATTATTTTTCACAATTTGTGGAAGATTAAAAACAGATATGAGGCAAAGCTTAGCAAAAGTGTACAGAACAGATTTCTAAATAGGCTATTACAGTGGTAGATGTTAACTGCCTCATGGTAAACAAGGTTAATTGGAAATATAACACCTTTTTACTGCAGTTTGTAACACACGCACAGACACACAGACATATATACATTACCCTACAGCATTGTTTGAAAGTGTTAAATGAAACACACATAATGCCTTGAGAACAGCATGTGGCAAGAGTGAACACACACAAGTAGAATTTGTGCTAAAATCCCCAACAGATGTTTGGGATAGCTTGATTGCCACGTCATTAAACAAAGCTTGAAGGTGCATTTGCTCAGCACTTCTATGTACTTCTGAATTATAAAATATGCATAATTTCATACTTAATGATAGAAATAATTCAGTATATATTACAGTTGTTTTCAGAGTTCTTTCTCCTGAAGCACTGGAATATTTTTAACAAATTCACACACCATCAACCCTCTGCTTGCTAATGTTTGATCTGAACATATAATTATTGTGCTTTCATGCTTGGAATGAGGACTTTGCAAGACTGGAAGACATGGAGGGCTTAATCACTGAGAATCGCATTGCTGTTATTATCCACATAGGTTTAGAATTAGTATACTTTACAGTGTCACTAATTGTTTCATGATGATTAGCACAGGAAGGTAAATAGAATTGGAGGCTTTGAAGGCATATTCTGGCTTGACATTTTCCCATCTGGGTCTATAAGGAAGTAAGTTGCTTATCAATTCTGAAACTTCCTTCCTCAGCTCAGAAATAGGAGAGCATGTTTACTAAATTTACTTTTCAGAATTCAGCATAAAATCAGTAATCAGAGCCTGGCAAAGAAGAACTATGAATTGGTTGATCTGTGGGTATAAGGAAAATAAGATGATGAATCAAGCTAATGATAGTTCACTGTGTGTGTGTGTGTGTGTGTGTGTGTGTGTGTGTGTGTGTATTTCTTAAGCTACATAAAAAAAAAGATTTGGAATGTTTTCACCACAAAGAAATACTAATTTTTAAAGAGGACACGTGATTACCTTCATTTGAATTGTATACAATGTATATATGTTTAAATATATAATTCAACAATGTTTTAAATTTACTTTACCCAGATATTAAATGGATAATTGAAATTCTGTGCAATTAAATACATTTAAGATTCTGTGTTCAATAAAAGTGCCTACTCAATTTAACATGTACAATGGTGCTAGTACTGAATGCTTTAAATAATTATATAGTTATTGATCATGATTGTCATTATACAAATATATCAGAGTCTGCAAATTTTACTTCATTTTAATAAATACTATGAAACAAGCACTCATTTGTCAGTAAATAAAATAATGATTTACATTTAGACCTTACTTGAAAACTAAGAGTACCAACAATAATAGAATAACATAGCAGAGTTTTTTGAGGTTTACACTGGCATTTCATTATTTGGTGAGAAAGTAGGAAAACTTGTATTCAAATATCCCATTCATGAAACATTATTAAGAATTCAGGGAGCTTTTGGGCTAAGAATCTAAAAAATGTCTTCTATGCTGAATATTAACATGAAAGGATAAAAGAAATTTTATCATGGCTGACATTAAAAACCAGCTATGTATCACAAATCATTGAATGGGGGTGAGGACAGAGATCAGATTTTAAAACAAAGAAACAAAGTACCCTTTTCCGAGTCTTCTCTTTCAGGAATGGGCGTATCACAGTGTACAAGGCATGGATATACCAAGGTTGATTGACAAAATGAATTCCTCCAAATCTTGCAGGGAAACTGTCCTAAAACAAGAAAGGCATAGATGTGAGAATAGGTTTTTCTACACTGTATGGTTTAGGAAATAGTACATGCCATTGAAAAGTGTTAATCACATGCTAAAGAAAGGGATCAAGTCTAGCCACAGTAAGACTCTCATAAGACATTAAAAGAATGTGCAGTAAATCAAATCTTCCCAAAGAGCAGGTTGCTGAAAAGAACTTCATCATCTTTCAGACTGTGTATTTTAAGCCTGCTAAATTCTAAGTTACTACCATCACAGAAACATAGAAAATAAACATATTAGAAAAAGTGTTGAGTACTAGTTTTATGTACAGTATATGATTTATTTAAATTATTTATACATATATTCTTATACATATTATTTAATAATATAATAAGCCTCAAGATTTAAGTTCAATTCCTGGGACCTATATATGATATAAGGAGAAAAATGCAGATTGTCCTTTGACTTCCAAACTTACACTCTAATGAACCCACCTACCTTTGACCTCACAATAAATAAATAAATATATAAATAAATAAATACATAAATAAATAACTCTAAAAGATGACTCAGTGGGACGGGTAAGGTCACTTGATAGCCTGAGTTTAAACATGGGAACTTACTTAGTGGAAAGAAATAAGCAATTTCCATAATGTGACCTCTGACATCCACAACTATAACATAGCTTATACTTACAGTCACACCAAAATTTAAAAATTAAATTAAAGCATGAATTGAGTTACATTAAAAACATACCTTTTTATCCTCCTATTATTTCTACACTTTATTGTAAACATTCACCTTTTCTTATTTATATATTAAAAGAAATCACGCTTAAGCAAAATAAAAACCCAGGGTTGTAGTACAGGAAATTTCAGGACTCATTCAGTAGGTTAAATAAACATCAAAGGCACTCTGAGCTCATTCCAAGGGAGGAAAGTGGTACTCTAGTAAACCTACTTCTTCTCAACAAAACATCCCTGGGATAGGTTTGAGCTCAGAGTGATGAAGAGAGGTCTACTCTGCCTATCTATATCCCAGTGCCTAGGGTAAAGGGATTCCTAACCCAGATGACTCACAAACTTGACACTTGATTCAATATGCTGAGAATCATTTCCAAAGGACCAGAATCCTCTCTTCTGCTACTTTGAAACCACAAATGAATCAGCTTCATTCATAAACATATGAGGAAAAGCAACAAAATAACTCTTCTAACTAGACTTGTCTTTCAAGTAGCATCATAATTGATATTTTCCTGTTTTCAGAACATGAGTAGGAGCAAAAAAGAGGTAAAAGTCACAGTGAAGGTGAAAGCTAATGTTATTATTTTTAATTTAAAGGTAAAATTTTGTGATCTAAAATATGTACCAGCATAAGACAATAAGCTGTTTGCAATAGAATCACTGGATATTTATACATATACATACATACATACATACATACATACACATATTTGTGTGTATGTATGTATGTATGTATGTATGTATGTATGTATATTGTCACATAACATCAATTCTTAGGTTCACTATATTTGAGGGTGGCTACATATATTCAGTGCCACTTGTAATCCAGTATGAATAATGAATACTATGACTATATTATGGTATATGATAATTGACTTGTCTCCTCTTATCTATGCACATTGTTTTCATGTCTTCTCTGTTTGCTACAACACACATTGCAGTTCTCAAGGCACTCTTTGCCTCCCCATGCAAGAGTGTGGTAATGCAGTTTTCTCAGCGTTGATGCTGCTTCCCAAAGTGCATGCTCTTCATGTTTATAAAACAAGCAAAAGGGACTGGATCAACTTAAACTCCTACTTCCTTCAGCACCATGTGCCAATTCTAGTTATTTTTTATAGATTGTATACTATATATAACCTTATAATTATGCAAATCTAGTAGAAATAATATTGATACACATACAAATATTATTTGCTAAATTATTGGCCTCTGTTCATAATGGTTATTTTCATCACTAATAAAAAAAAGCTTTGACCACAATATTATACTTTTGAGTTCTTGAGAGTGTAAATTGTTTGTGTCTCTACTGTTTTGTTATGGCACCCTATTAATGGTAGTCTCAATTTGGCTACATTAATTATCAAGCATCTAGAAACTGGCTTGGCAATGCCTTTATCAAGATTTGCTTCAGTTGCTACCAGGTATAAGATGCTAGCCACCTCATGTGTCTTAAAATTAATTTCCTATGCTGAGTTTTCTCTGACTCTCATCATATATCTAAATTTCAGACACTCTTGAAAAAATTATTGCCCTGGTCAACTGAGAATGCTATGAACATCATCATTACTAATATTGACATCATTAACTTTCAACCACATATAGAAATTGTAGAGCAATTTCCATGATGATTTCCTAGCTAACTGAAGTTTTCTTTCAGGACATAGCAACCAGGAGGGTCCCTGGTTCCACATCCAGTCACCCACTTGCCATCACCATATACAAGCACATACACATTATAGCAGTTAGAACCTAGACATCCCCCCTCCCATTTGTAGATGTCATTTAGTAGACAAGAGGCTTTCAGGCCAACAGCAATAAATATAATCATATGAATCCCAACCACAAGGGTGTGAACTCAATCCAGAGCTTTGTAGCAAATGCATAAGAACTCCATTGACTCAGTATTTTTCATTGAACTTTTAGCACTTATAACCTGTAAATGAATATACTTTGTTTTCTTTTTATCTACTCAAGAAAATGTGTGCTTAGCGCATGAAACTGAGCCCAACTATGCCACATTCGTTTTTATACTCCCTGCACTTTTGAAATGTGTCCCAAAACAGAGATAGGCAAATTTCATCAGATGAAAAACACTGTGATTGGTATTGCTCAACTAACCTATCTAAGTAATTTGTCTTTTCTAAACCCAGTTTTCTTTTCTGTAAGGAACAGCACTTAATAAAAATGCTAATTTCAATTTTTTATTATTTACTGAGCATATCTTGTAGATTAAAGACTACCATATACACTATCAAGTCCACTTTATCCAAAGGAAAGCACTTCTGAAGTTATTTTATAATATATTATAAAGGCAGTCTGTCGACCATTCCTGTCTGCACCTGTACCTGGATCAGCCCTAAGGTTTCAGCTCTGCATACAACCCCCCAAAACCCAGAGTAGGCTGGACTCTCAGGAGTTATAATATGCACAGGAGTGTAGGTAAGTAAGCCACAACCCTACACCCCCGAAAATTGAGAGAAATTTGGGACCCACTGGGACCCACGAACTCCCTCAAGGCCAGTGGCAAAGGACCCTTCCTGTCTGAGCCTGCACCTGGAGCCACCTTAAGGCTTTAGCTCTGCACCCAACCATACCAAACAAAGAAGAGGCTGGACTCCCAGCAGCACTAACACATAGAAACATAGGATATTAGGATCACAGAATCTCAAGATCATGGGCACACCAGGACTTCAGGAGCCAAGAAGAAGCATGACTCTCAGGAGCTGTCACAACCAGGATCTCAGGATCACAGAGAGACATGGAATCTGAGGAGTTCTGACACAGCAAAAATAACAGGACAGTCAGGTTTCAGTCAGAGATGGTGAGTGAAGGTAGCACTAGAAATACCCAGATGGTGAAAGGCAAGTGCAAGAACATAAGCAACAGAAACCAAGGTTACTTGGCATCATCAGAATCTAGTTCTTTCACCACAGCAAGTCCTGAATAACCAATAACACCAGAAAAGCAACCCGATGACAACCAGAAAATCAAGATTCAGATTTAAAATGACTTCTCATGATGATGATAGAAGACTTTCAAAAGGACATAAATAACTGCCTCAAAGAAATACAGGAGAATACATGTAAACAAGTAGAAGCCCTTAAAGAAGAAATACAAAAATCTCTTAAAGAATTGCAAGAACACATAACTAAACAGGTGAAGGAATTGAACAAAATGATTCAGGACATAAAAATGAAAGTAGAAACAATAAAGAAATCACAAGGGGATACTACCCAAGAGATAGAAGACCTAGGAAGCAGATCAGGAGTCATATAAGCAAGCATCACCAAGAGGATACAAGAGAGAGAAAAGAGAATCTCAGGTGCAGAAGATACCACAGAAAACATTGACACAACTATCAAAGAAAATACAAAATGAAAGAAACTCCTAACCCAAAACATCCAGGAAATCCAGGACACAATGAGAAGACCAAATCTAGAGATAATAGGTATAAAAGAAAGTGAAGATTCCCAACTTAAAGTGCCAGTAAATATCTTCAAAAGATTATAGAAGAAAACATCCCTAACCTGAAGAAAGAGATGCCTATGAACATACAAGAAGCTTACAAAACTCCAAATAGACTAGATCAGAAAAGCAATTTGTCCCATCACATAATAATCAAAACACCAAATGCACAAAACAAAGAAAGAATATTAAAAGCAGTAAGGAGAAAAGGTCAAATAACTTATAAAGGCAGACCTATCAGAATTACACCAGACTTCTAACCAGAGACTGTAAAAGCCAGAAGATCCTGGACTGATATCATACAGACCCTAAGAGAACACAAATGCCAGCCCAGGCTACTATACCCAGCAAAACTCTCAATTACCATAGATGGAGAAACCAAGATATTCCATGACAAAACCAAATTTACACAATATCTTTCCACAAATCCAGCCTACAAAGGATAATAGAGCGAAACCACCAATGGAAAGAGGGAAATTATACCTTAGAAAAAGCAAGAAAGTAATCTTCCTCCAACAAACCCAAAGGAAGATAGCCACACAAACATAACTCCACCTCTAATAACAAAAATAATAAGAAGCAATAATCACTTCTCCTTAATATCTCTTAACATCAATAGACTCAATTCCCCAATAAAAATACATAGACTAACAGACTGGATAAGTAAACAGGGCCCAACATTTTGCTGCATACAGGAAAGCACCTCAGTGACAAAGACAGACACTAGCTCAGAGTTAAAGGATGACAACAATTTTCTAAGCAAATCGTCCCAAGAAACAAGCTGGAGTAGCCACTCCTGGGCTTTTACCCA